AACCAACCCAACTGCTTATCCTACTGCTTAATTACTTGCTTTCTTTGAGACCATTTTCACACAAGAGACGTGCATCAATATCATCAAAAGACCTGACCAATCATTTTCCAGAAATTCATTTTCAAGTGTAACAGGTGCCTCAGCAGTCTTCTGGTGTCTACCCAACTGCTGAACCATCTGCTCATATACACATGTTTCTCTTGAGCATCTCAATATCATAGGACCTTCATAACATTATCAATAAGTAGGCTACTCAAACTACTCTCTGAAATTCGTCCCTTAAACCAAGCTAGTACCTCAGCAGTTCCCTCATCACCACCCAACTGTTAAAGATCACTGCTCCAGTAAAACTCCTGATTACTTTTACCAAAGAACACCTTCTGAAATCCCTCATTATCCTCAGCAATATTCCATCATCACTTTCATCAAACACCCGATATCTCCTCAGCAGTTGCCTTAGCAGTTCCCTGCTATTCACCCAACTGCCAAGCCAACTGCCAGATATCTGGGTTAAATCTTCTACCAGGACAGAAAGTTGTCACACACTCATTACACAAAGGGTAAAGACTTCCGCTGTGCATCTATTAATCTCACAAAAGATTATAGATCAACTTTTATAGAGGGAAAACTTTGTGAAATTTAAAAAGATGTAAAAGTCTATTCACCCCCCTCTAGACTTTTACCCTATCAGGGACCATCAGAAAGGAACCGCTGGTGCCGACATGGTGACAGGAATCGGCATCTGTTGGTTGACAGTCTGCAAACCCGACATCGTCGACCTGGTCCGCAACGAATCTGGGAAGAAACACATCGGGATGCTCGCTGCTGGAGTCGTCTCCGGGACGAGAGGTTCGTAGGGCACAAGTTGCGAAATCACCGGGGAGCAACCACCATATAGATCGACATTCAACAACCCCGGAAAGGACTCGGTTGTAAAGGTGAGCATCGAGGTTGAGGCCGGTATGGGATCCATGTCTAGTCTTGATGTTGCGGTCATGACTTCCTTTCCCCGACGTGAGTTTGAGGCTATGGATGCTACCAACTGTACCTGAGAACGTAGAGCGTCATTCTCCCCCTATAGGAAGGTTACCCTTTGACGCATTTCCTCTCTGACGGCTTCTAGCTGAGTTTGCATTTCCTCATTCAAATGATCGGATCTTCTGGCCGGCTGCAATTCCTCATGAACGGCATCCAACTGGGCTTGAATCTCTTCTTTCAAATGATTAGAATCCTTAGCCGCACGCAGTTCTTCCCGAACAACCTGCAACTGGGCTTGAATCTCCTCTATCAAGGTGTTTGAGGCTTCGGCCATAATTGATTCTTTCTTTCTGCAAGAATTTCCCATAGACGGCGCCAAATGTTTATACCGGGATTAAACAATTAAATTGAACTGGGAATCTCACAAAATAGAATCAATAATGGACAATTCGATATAAGCAATAGATTGTATGATAGTAATAAATATTTCTCAATATGGAGCTTCCGAATACAGAGTATTAGATAATTGGAATGAACAGTGGCGTAGCTAGGGGTGGGCCAGACTTGGCCCTGGTCCAGTCCAAATTTTAAAAATGTCTTTATTTTTAGTGTAAGGGTGATTCTATTTGAAGCCATTCTTTTGCTAAACACAATCACATATATCTTTAAATGTCTAAATTACCCTCGTTACCATTTACTAAACCTTCATGAAAATTGCCGGATACAAATTAATGAAATCACCGGGATCTGAAAAAGTGGATGAATCTAGTTCAGCTGCTGGAAAGTCAGGAATTCATTGCTCCACCACGCTCGATCAAGTCACACGAAGCAAAGGTCTCCGATCCGGTGCTAGGATGGACGATCACCGGGGCGAGTTTTGCTACCTCCGTCGTGCCGCCGCCCAGTTCTCGGTCGCTCCGCCACTCTCAAGTCGCTCTGCCACGCTCCGGTCGCTCTTCCACGCTCCAGTTACTCCGCCACCACTCAAGGAAAGCCTAGGCTTTGATTACACCTTCTGTAATTCTGGGTTTAGTTGTTGAAGCTCAACCTTGAAGGTCCGCCATTAATGGGCGCTCAAAGCTCTGGGAAGGACAGCCTGCTCCAAACCCATTGCCGGTGTCTCTGCTCTGTACAGTACCTGTGTCCCAGCAAAGATGGTCTTTCTTGGTCCCAGCGATGCCCACTCCTGATCCTTCTTGAACATTGATTCAACTTAAACTTATATGGCTGGTCCGTGCAGTTTCACCCTATTGATTTCAGTAGGTAGCCTGGGGAAGATGACATTAGAAAGAATCGAGGGAATGGAATTAAGGGTATAATTGGATTTATAAAAAAAATGTGGTTGTATTTAGTAAAATGGTGGCTGTAAATAGAATTTGCCTTAGTGCAAAAAGTTGTATGTAAAAAATTTTCAAAAATATTCTTTGTGTCGGCCCAGTCTGGCCCAGGGTCCTGGCTCCGCCCCTGGGAATGAATGGGTTGATTGTGATTGATCGTGTTTTACAATAAAGCCTGACCTAGTCTATTTATGAAATGAAGTAAACTCCTTCCCCAAGAATAGGGTCCTCCTATTTCTCCTCCACGTGCTAACTCTTCTCTTGACTTGGTCTTGGTCTCTTGGACTCTTTAATTCTCAACCGTAGCATATTGAATTATATACACAAACCGCTTTGTTGATTTTGCGCAAATCGATAATCCGGATAATGGTGTATGTAAATGTGGACTCCTTGTGTATTTTGCAAGAGATGAAAAGGAGGAAGAAGTCTGGCAAACGACCGCTCTGATTTGAATGTTGATCGAGGAAGTTAACTTGCATTTTTTGGGATATATCGTCCTAAACTCCTAATTCTGTCCTTTTTGCGTACAAAAACAAGGAATGCGCGGCCTCTTTTTGTTTTTAGTTTTTTGTTCTTGTTTAAGAATAGTTCTTGTCTAATCTAAAGTATTCTAAAATTCTACGTAGTACTCACGTCCCTCACAATTTGATTTGCAGATTCTTATTTTCGTCGAATAGTTTCAATTTGTTCAACTACTTGGAATATGAATTTCTAATTAATTAGTATATTATAATTTGGACATTGTAAATGTAGGATTATTTGCTAAATACATCCTCAACTATCATCAAATTCACAAATTTATCACATACTTTTATTTTTATTAAAAAAAATATTCCAACTTCAATTTTTTCACAATTACACTTTCAATAGATGAACTAATAAAAGTTAAGAAAAAAATCATGTTTATATTTCATATTTTTAACTTCTTTCTAGTTATAAGTTTACAAACTTGTACTACGTATTACTTATATCTTATTGGCATTGATAAAATTTGTAATTTTGAAAAAAACTAAGAAAACCATAATCATTGAAAAAGATGAACTTTGAGTTTTTTTAATATAGAAGTGAAAGAATATGATAGATTTATGAATTTTATGATAGTTTGGGATAAAATAAGCTAATAAGCCGTAATTTTAGAGAGATTTTAATTTAATTTTGAATATAAAATTTTAACTATGAAACTTGAATAAATTATCAATAGGTAGGATTTGATTTTCATATTGTTTGATCAAAATTGTTGCACGTTCTAACTTCTACTCTACTTGTTTTTGACTTTTTGGTTCAATATTATGCCTATCTGATTATGCTCATTTTACATACTTCTTACGTATTTAAAAGATCACTACATTAGTCTTGACACAATATTTAAAGGGGAAATAGTATAGATTATGAATAGCGTAGAAAAAGAATGAGCGAAAGTGAAAAAGTAAGAAAAAAAGTAGAAAAAATAAGGGTAATTAGGTATTTTTAAAGGAAAGACTTATCGAAAAGGAAAATGTAGTAAACTTTTAAGTACATCTCAAATAAGAAAGTGTATCAAACTTTTAAATATAGAGGAACGGATTTGCTTAAGAAGTCGATGGATATTTTCAACCAGTTGTTGCCTTGCTGGGTTCCTTAAATATCATTTAAGATAGAGAATATTCTCAAATTTGTAACGGGCTATAGCCCTCTTGAACCGGCCCGGCCGGTCCGGGACCGATCCAACCCCAAAATATCTTTTTTTTTCAAAGGATTGGGTGGTAGGCGGGTTGGGCTGGATGATTTGAGGGTGTGATCAAACATCTTCATTGAGTATTGAACCGTATTGAGCATCAAATCATCTTCATAGGAGTAGATTATTGTGTTCTCTACTATTGAACATTGAGCCGCCTATTTGGGATGCGAGCAACGAGCGGCCAGCTGGGTGCAAGCTGCTAGCCTGCGAGGAGCGGGCCTAGGTGCAAGCAGCAAGCCATCTATCATCTGTGCAACGGTGATGAGCGAAGTGCACCTGCAACAAAAGCCTGATTGTACAGTCTGCATGGTACAAAGATATAATTTGCGGATTTATTTGAGACACTACACAGTCACTTATTCACTTGTAGCCCGCCACTCTGAGTCAAATCCCCTAGGGCTAACAAATTCACCCGTCACAGGCTCACAACAAACCAGCTGCTGTCTATGAGCCCTACCTAATACTACCTCCGTTCTTAAATAAATGAAACACTTTGACTTTTACACTATTCACATGTTCTACTTTGACTACGTTTTATTTCTTAATGTAATAATATTATTTTATGAAAAAAATATTGTTAAACTTGTCTCATTGTAAATTTTCATAATCTAATTTTTTTAATTCTTTTACTAATACAAAATCATTTATATTAATGGTCAAAGTTGTATCTCGGCAAGTGTGAAATGTTGACCGTTGCATTTATTTAAGACGGAGGAAGTATGACGAAAAAGGCCGTGCGTAATAGATAACCAAAATTTCCTACTATTACAATGAGAACTATGGTCTCAACTCTCAAACCGTCAAACGTGCAATTCACTTGTGTGCTACTCTGCTATATGGTACTCCGTCCCATTTTACCTGTTCTACTTTCCTTTTTGGGTTGTCCCAAAATAAGTGTCCACTTTCCCTTTATGGAATGAAATATGTGGCCTACATCATTTTACTTTATTATACTCAAACCTCAACCACAACTTTTACTTTTTCAACCATTTCATTAATAACCGTGTCAAGTCAAACTAAGACACATAAAATGAGACGGAGGTAGTACTACTTGTATCTTGGAAAAGACAATGAGAGGCTTCAGCCTTCAGGCAAAAAAGAACATGAAGTAATAATCTATCTAGACATCAAATCTAGGCCAGTCCACAGGCTGAAGCGTCAACATCAAGTAAATTACTCTAAACAACACTTGTAGACAGAACATGTCACGAAGATGAACATAGGCGCATTAAAGCTTTCATTTTTTAGTCCACTTCCATGTCAGATATTGCCTCGTTCAGTATACTCTTTAGTTGTTTGACTCTTTGTTTTGCCAATGCAAAGCAATCCTGAAAAGATCAAATTACAGCTTAGGGATGAGCATTGCCATCAATTAACATGCAACACAAGTTTTTTATAACACTGCATTATTGTCTATTTATCTTTTTTGATTCCTCACATAATCCGCTTATTAGCCAATTTGTCTAGCAAACGCCTATTGATAGTATTTTAATGCATTGCTTAATAAATAAATAAAAGTAGGGCAAAAGTTATTTTTTAGCATAAATTGTTGAAAATGAAGATAACAACACTATAACAGTATGAAACTTCTACTTACCCTCTTTTAAATATTATTTCACTAAACATTATGTTTCATTGTTTCAAATGCGTTTTTATAAACATTAGCCAATTTGTCTAGCAAATGCCTATTGACAGTATTTTAATGCATTGCTTGATAAATAAATAAAAGTAGTGCATAAGTTATTTTTTAGCATAAATTGTTGAAAATGAAGATAACAACACTAACAGTATGAAACTTCTACTACCCTCTTTTAAATATTATTTCACTAAACATTATGTTTCATTGTTTCAAATGCATTTTTATAAACATTATTTTATAAAAAAACATTATATTTCAAATGCATTTTTAGGAAGCTTGACTCAATTAGTACATTCACCCATTTCAACCACAGTATCAAAAGATTCATGCCAAATTTCACATTTACTGGACGGCTCTATACTCTTCCAGTTATCCGCATTTGAAGAAGTTATCAGCGACGCATTGTTAGTTTATTGAACTGTTTAGAAGTTTGTGTATATGAACTTCTTTTTGTTTCGATATTTTCTACCCAAAACTTTTATATTAGACGTTATAAATTGCAGAAAATAGTTATTATATAATGTGAGTAAAATAGACGATAGCATTTTAATTGCACTCCAACGTCTCCAAGTTGCAGCAAACAAAGATTAACATGGAGACTCACCTTGATAGTCGAAGTGTGGGCAAGGACAGCCCCTCCTGGCTTGTTAAGGGATACAATTTGATACGATGAATCCAATACCACAGTAAGAACAGTTTCCATTACAGACTCTTCCTCTGATGTAGGGTCTGCTAGGATATATTTTTTGTGGAGTAGGCATGTCAATGAGAACGGAACACTATTTATATTCAGTTTTCTCTTCCCTTCTTTAGAGACCGGTTCATTTTCATCCATGACGTCCTTTTTCTTTTTGTTTTTAGAACCAAGAACTACCCTCCCGTCATCATTCAAAGAAGCTGGAGGAATCTCCACTGCAGCAGAAAGATAAAATCTTTTTTTTTTCAAAAAGGGGCAAAAAGAACGGCAACAAAAGCTTGTTTTTATAAATGCGATCAAAGTTAGGATTTTTTAGTGCCCTAATCTAGTGCAGATCAATTACTAGCTAACTTTAACTATTCTCATTCATAAAAAGGGGGAGAAGGGTAAAATGTGGAGGAAATGATAAAATGCGCATAGATAAGGACAGAAGAAAAGAAACAAACAAATCTGGTCAATGAAGACATTTGAATAGGGGAGTGTAATGCCAATAAAATTTAAATGGACTCATGAGATGAAGAAAGTCAAATTGAACCTAACATGAAATTGTTTGAGCTAATGGATACTTTAATGGACTTCAATATTCGTAAAGTTTTGGCAAATTATTTTTCAGGATTCAGATGTAACAAAGAATATGGATGACGGATTGGGACTTATTGGGCTCTATGACTCTATCTAGCACTCTATGAATCTATCTACCAAATACTATAAGGGAAAGAGGTGTGAAACCATAGCACGCACAATGTGAAAAGGCAGCAACTGCTGAAAGTAATGCAGCATCAAACAGAGCACCATCAGCGTCCAAGCAGTATATGTCCTGTTAAATTATCATTAAATATTCACACACAAAAAGTACAGACCAATACACATTCTGCTGCACCCAAAAAAATGAGAGACTGCCTAAGCATAATTGGGAACTATAAATTTACTGGGGAAAACAGATACTAAACATTTAAGCCCATTTTTTCAAAACTGAAATATGTGTCTGAAAACATAATGGAGTATTGGAGTAACATCCGGCAAAGGTCTGAAGATCTTAGGAACATTAAACCTTCTCTTGTTCTTTAAATATAACAATTTCAAAGGCTAGATCATGAAAGTGGTTTCAAAAGCAAGAACATGCATAAAACAAGAAATAATTAAATAATTAAATCACATACCAGGTATGCCATCCAAGCAGCTTTTCCACTAACCACACAGAGTTCTTTGAAGTCAATCATGCCCGAACTAAGTAAGTTACATTTTGTCAGCACCATGTATCATGCCATGAAAAAAAACAAGAGTTCAAACAGTGAGCATAGGGAACAAACAACCAAAAGAAAATTGAGATTTCATATCCTTTTTAGGAAGTAGGAACAGACGTAAATTACTAGAGATAAGAGGTGACAACAGAAATCTTCTAGCTGACATTGTATCCATTGTCACACAGGACCAGGCCACTTAGCCCAGACCCCACCGTGTGATCTTAAAGATTTTATTAATCCTAGAAAATCTTTCTTTTAAGGCTTCCTGAGGACATTAACATCAACATCATCATTACCCCAGTGCCGAAAAGGCTCCCACCTACAGTGGGGTAAGGGGGGTCGGATGTACGCAGCCTTACTCCTGTACTAAAAGTAAAGAGAGACTGTTTCCGGATGACTCATGGCGAAAATTGCGTTGAAAGTTGCATGCATTGACTGCTTCATAAAAAATAAGCGCAGACAGTTTAGTGAGTCATTTCGCTTTATTCCATCATTTTTTCAAGCCAAAAATAGTGAATCTTTGGCTCCATTGTGATAGGAATCTACCTATTAGATTAATAATAGATAATAATTCTAATATGAATACTAGAAGAATAGATACTGTTTAGTGGGCCTGTTATTTTGGGCCTATTATTATAGAGAATAATAAGAGGGCTTATACTATAAATAGAAAGGGGAAGGAAGGCATAAGGTAGGCTTTTAGACGATTAGTCTTGGGACTGGGAAGATCGAGTTTATCTCCTTCTTTGGGGGCTTCGGCTCATTTGGGAGGCTTCGGCCTTGGATTGTGTACTGTTCATCTTCTCTGATAAAATTCTGTTTGAATTCTTCATCTCTTTCTGTAATTTGTGCTGGTTAACTGGAGGTATCTAACACATTGCAAATGATGGAAATTATGACTTCCTGAGGGCATTTGAAAATTAAGTACTTCTCAAGAACTCTTTTGGTATGATTTAGAACTGAGTATTGTGCAAATTTTATCCCCATCTTTCTTCTCTATAATACAAATAAGTGTATATTACATGTGTGAGAAAATAAATTTTAAGAACTAATCTAGGGGGTTGCCAGACAAACACGATAAATTAATACACGACCATATCATTAAGGCATTGAATATGACCAAATGTTAAGCAAAAAGTGAAGCACCACTTAAATAACCAGTGCTAACAAATAAGACATCGTAAAATTTAATGGTAAAGATATTGAAATGCATTGAACTAACACAACATATCAACCTAGTAATGGCGTCAGATAACTGTTTTGAAATAACTGGAGCTGCCTCCGCGGGCCGACCAGGTCGTACAAGAGAAGAACAAATTGGAGGCATGTAGAATTCAACCGCTGAAATAACAAGTTCATGTATTTATAAGAGCAACAATATTCCCTGTTAGTATAAATTATTGTCAAAAAGTGATATTCCCTGTTTGAGAATGTCATCTCAAACACACAAAAATGTCTAGGTTCTAGCTATTTAGCATTTTTTTTACAAGAAATACATCAAAAGTTCATGATAGTTACAACATAAACCCAAATATGACCAACCTATGGATCCCTCATCAGGAGATTCTGCAGCTGGAGTCATGATTTCCATTTTGATTGCAGCCAACATTGTCTGCACATTATACATGATGAGTAAGTAGACAAACACAACTTCCGGGAAAAGGTCTTTTAATCAAAACAAGCAAATAAACTTAATTACTTCACGATACCAAAAAAAAGTAGAGCACTTACTGTGGAACCAATCTTTACCAATGAAGATCCATTTGCAGATGCCACACTGCCTAGATATTAAAATACATATTCAATTAGAAATAAAAATCTCAAAGTCTAACAGTTTAAAATATAGCCAGAAGGATCATTCACCAACCAAGCACAACTGTTGTATGTCTAGCTTCTCCAAGTGCTCGTCCATCTGGTCGTATAGATTCAGCAAGATAACGCTCATGAAAACGCAAGGGGAAAAGACGCCGAAATGCATCCAGCTCCATCTGTGATGACAAATCCTCGGAGCCATTGGTAGTGGTTTCCATTCTCAAGTTTCCGTATTTCTGGCTGAAGAAAAGCACCTGTGTTAAGTAGTTTGTCTGAGAGCAGGGATGGCGGCTGAGGAAGGTGGCGCTTGGGGTTGCCAGTCACTTTCATAGTATTGGGGGGTACCAAATAGAAAAGAAGGAAGCTTTTAGGACTTTATTTTATTTTCCAATTTTTGTTTGTCTTTCTACTAGGTTGTATTTCCCAATTTTCATTATTATTTTCAGTTTTTTAGTTCTCCATTTTCTGGATTCTGTTTTGTTATTGTGGACTTAGGTATAAAAGTTTTTAAACTTGAAAAATATATTCTTACCAACAGAGTATAAGTGAAAGCACTCAAACACTCAATCTCAAGAATCATGATTCCAAGTTACAGAGTATTAGCTGCATAATTAAAATAAAAATATTTAATAATAAACACTTGGGAGTTATGATTTTATGACTTACCTGCTGACGGGGTCTGGGGTGATTAACGGGGAGCTAAGGAAGGCAGACTACCACGCAGCAGGGGTGAGCGGCGTGCGGGGCTGCGACTGGCTGACTGCGAGCTTGACTCCCTGAGACTCGCCGAAGTGCCCAACGGGATTGGCAAGTCAAAGCAGCGGTTCTGTTTCTGCGAGCCCGGTTGCTTCATGAATAGGGGTGAAGGAAAGTGGCCGATTGATTATGGGGCTCAAATAGTTATATTGACTCATTTCATTTTGTTGATTCATGAAAAAATTATATTTAAAATATTTTTTATTATTAAATTAAATAAAAAATTATCTGAAAAATAGTTAAAATGATTCTTTACAAAAACTTAGTCAATAAAGTTGGAAAAGTAATTTCAATTTTACTTTTTCTGATTATTACAAAATTCAGCGTGCGAAATCAAAAATTATGTATTTGGTGAAAAAGCTGGCTGATAAGCCGAAAAAAATGGGTCACCAAACGAGCTCTTAGCCAATGAATTGGTTTTTTTGCTTGTGTAGTTTTTTCTTTTCGAGGAGCTTATTTTGGAGCCTTAGGTAAGGAGCTTACGACATAAACATGTGGTCAGAGGAAGTTCTTCTTCCTTCTGGCACTGGGCCGGCAGATTTGTACTGGGCCAGACTATTATGGGCCAGTAATTTTTTAACCATATCATCCAAAAAATTACCCTGGCCCAAGCCGCCCAGCCCCCCTCCTTCCGCCTTCTTTTAGTGTTTAATATCCGATTTGAAATCAAAGAAGTATTTTCTACGGGATCCCGAAATCACCAGCCCCGACCTAATTCATGGGATGGGTGTTTGCAAATGACGGTTGACCGTTGATTGTTAGCTAATGAATAACAATAGATTATGTTGGTGTTTTGATTACTAAATAATATTAGTGATTTATGAAATGGTGATTGATTAATTAGTTGTTTACCATTAACTAGTAACTAATTAAATGACCTTTAAAGACATCAATTTATTTTTTGAATACTTACTACGTTTAGAATTTAGATGTATCATATGAAATTATAATTACTGTGTATATTTTTCTAATCACACGATTACTTAAATTATGTAGTCAATTCCATTCACATTCGTAATCAACTTCTATGAATGGTTTGTAAATTTTGATCTCTCTCTAGGGTTGTCTCTTGGGTAACGCTTAGCTTCGGATTGTCCGCTATCGGCTTAGCCGAGGAGCGGGGTTAGGGTTTTCTGGCCGTTCTTGGGTGTTTCTTGGTGTTTGGGTTGTGGACTTATGCAGGGTCTTCAGTTAAGGGAGGGAAAAGTTTCTGCTGCTGTTTCGGCGACTTCGAGGGTCTGTGAACGAAGTCTCAGCAGGAAGGAAGAGCAAGTAGAGGCGGTAGGCAGCGACAGTTTTGACGAAGGTGTAAGGTGTTCGGGTGTGCATGAAAAACTTTGTGGAGCAATACAAAAATATGGCGATTGGAGCTGAGGAGGAAGAGCTTGATCTGGATGATACCGAATTGGAGGACTCGCCGGCAGAGGAGACCAGACCGGGATTTCCGGTGGTGGGGGTTTTGCTGACTGACATGAAGGTTAAATTCCTAGCTTTCAAAGAACTCATGGCATCAGTATGGAGACCGGGTAAGGGGATACTGATTAAAGAAGTTAGGTATAAGAGGTATCTATTTACTTTTTATCATCTTGTTGATATGAAATGTGTGCTAGATGGGGGTCCTTGGCAATTTGAGCTTAATTTGCTAATTTTGAAAGAAGTTAAACCTGATGAATCCCTCATAAAATTTGCTTGAATGAAGCTGAATTCTGGATCTAGATTCATAACGCTCCTTATAGTTTAGTGAATCTAGGTGCGGCCAGGCATGTTGGCAATTTTATTGGAAAATTCTTAAAATACGATGATAACCAGTATAGCGAGAAGTGGAAATCATATATGAGGGTCAGGGTGAGTATGAATGTGGAAAAGCCACTAAAAAGGGGTACAGATCTCAAGAAAGATGGGAAGGGCTATTGGGTAGATTTTAAATATGAAAAGTTGCCCAATTTCTGTTTTATCTGCGAATTAATAGGGCATTCAGATAAATTTTGCCCTCTGACTTATGAAGAGGATCTGGTGTTGGAGAAAAAGTATGGAGTTTATCTCAGAGCTGGTAGCGGGGTGAAGTCAAGTCCCACAGGAGGAAATAGGTAGTGCTGGACTCGGGCCGGGCGGCCCGAACCGGAATCGGCCCGGCCCGGTTACTTTGTGAACCGGCCCGGCCCGGTGGCCCGGTCCACCGGCGGTTCGGGTCGAACCGGCCCGGTGGATACCGGTTCCGGGCCCGGGCCCTCCATTTGGTGAACCGGCCCGGCCGGTTCAGGGCCGGTCCGGACCGGAACAAATTTTTTTTTTTTATTTTTTTTTTTGAATTTTTTTTAATTTTTGGGTTGGATTGGGTATTTTGGGCCATTTGAGGGGGAGGGGTAGGGGGTTAAATAAGAGAAGCCAAAAAATAAAAAAAAAATGGGGCGGGTGAACCGGCCCGGTCTGGCCCGGAACCGGTCACCGCCGGTTCGGGCCCGGGCCCTCCTTTTGGTGAACCGAGGCCCGGCCGGTTCAAGGCTCGAACCGGGCCCGGCCCGAACCGAGTCCAGCCCTAGAAATAGGTGGGTGGTGGATGGTTCATCTAGCTCCAGCAGGAACCATAGAGATATGGGAGATAACAAATAATGGGAGGGGGGAAAGGAATTCACATCTGGAACAACGCTAAGTACAACTAAAGGTGTGGCGGATGGGACAAATGAGGAGACTTTGGGAGAATAGAAAAGAAGACGTATCTGAGAAGATCCGGAAGAGGACAAGCTAGTAGGGGGGAATATGGCGCTCGATAGCACACAAAACGGGGAAGAGGTGGGCTTCAACCAGTAAGCCCGCCGAAGTTGCTTCAGGTTGGATCAAGGCAGAGGATGTGGGGGTTCGTGCTGATCAATGGCATGGCCAGGAATTTTTGATTCTTTGTTTTATTTTAGTTTTTCGTGACAATGTTCTTTTTTGGTGTTCTGTCGTTGTTTAGTTTTTTACCGCTGTAAGACTGTGCTTTTGAATGTGGGTAATAGAAGGATTGAGGTAGCCGTATTTGGCTCATTTGTGCCCATAATGGATCAGCGAGTTATATATTGCTTCTCTTGAGGTGATTAACTCTGAGTCTGGTTAGAGGGACGACGATTGTCAGGAATCTTTTTGTCGGATTACCTACTATCTGAATGATGTGTTATCAGTTTAAGCCTATTTCTTTCAAAAAAAAAAAACAATTCACATTCGTCTTAAAAAATTTGCCAGCAATACTAAAAAGTAAACTCAATAATTGGAATTGTGATCTTTCTTTTAATTTCTCATTGAAAATTTTGCATAAAGGCCATTTGAAGCTAGGCACCATGTGTCAACTATGCTGGAGCAAAATCTGGTAGTGAAGTGTGATGAAGATAAGAGGAGGGTGGTGGTACTGCTAAGGATATCCACATTTTTTGTTTCGGCCGTCCAAGACAAAAAGCCAAATGAAATATATGCTACTCCGTAGCATTTAATTAGCTTATTCATCTGGTTAAAAAGTCATTTAATAATCAAATCAACCAAAAACTGGCTGATAGAGTCCTAACCAAACACCCTCACTCGCACACGCAAAAGAAGAGGAGGAAAGAGAAACATGTAAAAGAAGAAAAGCTTTGAAGTGGGAAATAGTCCCGGAGTATGACTTTTGAAACCACTTCTCTAGACTTCATACTAGAGACAATGATTTTCCAGGACTTTCGAAAAAGCATCATTAAAAAACTACAGAAATCTGGAAATCATATACTCTGTCACAATTCACTGTGTACAATTGAAGTTGATGAACCTATAACAAAACAACAAAACAATAACGCAGAACAAGATAACTCTACAAAGAATTACAGAACAATTCATATCTGCACTCTACTTTTCCACTTTCATTCTAAGATGTTTCGAAGTTGCAATCACACCAACTCCATTAGCAGAGGGTCACCTGCCGCCATAACCTTTATCAGTTTAATGAACTCTTGCTCACTTGATACTGTCCACGGCCGAACCGCGGGCGCTTCAGCAGAATAAAATGTTGAATTGTTAGGCTGGTTTTCCTTATAAACCATTGAATTTAACACCGGATCGAAGTTCTTCATCGAGTCCATTGCCATGAAGAACATAGGTATTGCAACCTTGTAATGGATTTCAAGTTCACCTACTAGATTCGCGAGATCTGTAAAATCGGTTACAAAGGGTCGAGGGATGTAGAAGACCTCAGATTCACATAAGGTGAGGGTCCTGTCATTTTCCCCTGATGCTTTGTAGTTGACTTGAAAGTGAACCGGCATTGTGTCTACAGTTTTCTTGACCAGGCCGGCTTGCTTAGATAGCCATTCAGAACTACCATCAACTGAAGCAGAGGTCCAAGATTTCGATACCTGAGTGCATTTGAAATGAAGTTACTCTCACACACAAATTAGCTGTTTGCACGATAGAATTTATAAGAGAGAACAATTTGTGGACAACAACAAAAGAACCATATATTCCCATCTAAGAGTTACTACTAAATACACTGCTACGAGTCTCTGGATAGCTGAAAAATTAGATTATTTTAATAATTAACCAATCGTGGTTATAGTCGATTGTAATCACAGTCAATTTTTTCCAAGTACACACCTGAAAGAAAAAATAAGCTGTTGAAAAATAAGCACAAGCTACAATGTTCCAACTTAACAGTTGAAATCTTGCATAAAGGAGTTATAAAAACAGAATGTTCATAATAGGACTAAAGTTTAAAAAACTGGAATTTCTATTAAAAAAACAAAAACTGAAATTGCAGGTTTCCAACCAAGCTCTCAGTCGTCTCAGATGGTGCATGTTTGAGCTTTTTAAAGACTGATCTTGTTGTTTTAAGAGCCTAAAATTAGAAGAATTGGTTTTAAGGGTGTGCGGAAGAATTCCTACAATTAATCATGGGGTCGTGGAACTGACTCATTTCAGAAGCTATATATCTACTTATTTTGTTTCAGAATAACATCACAAGTTCACAAAACAACAACTATTCAGCCTGAGTGTCTTTGTCATGCAACAAAGACATTTAACAGATTGATTAAATTTCTGGTTGCAAGTACCTGGTTAGTGATCCAGAGCTTAGACTTGTCCGCTTGCAGCAAGTTCCAATAATTAAGGATAGTGTCATCCTGAAGAAACAGAAAGCCTTCAGCACTGGTGTATCTATCGAACATCTTAGGCAGAAACCTGTAAAACAGAACAGGGACACACACTGTAAGAAAACTAAATAGGAGTACTACAAATGTGCAGAACAGATTCCCACATATTTTTAGTGTAATTGTTTGGTATGGGGGTTTGTGAGGGCATGGAAGGAGTGGATTGATTTTTGTTTTGCGAATTTACTTGTATATATTAGTCTTAGCCTAGAAATAACTACATGTTTAGGTAAATAATGTATTCACGTATAACTTCTCATCATCACTTATTTTGATAATCAAAATGTAAGAATAAATAATACTCCCTCTGTCCCATAAAATTTGGCCAAGTTTGACGGGATTAATAAAGTAAAACCTGTGTAGTTGGTTTCTGCAGAGGAGAGAGAATTAACTACAACTACAAATTCTTTGCTTAGAAAGGAAAGTGGCAAAGTTAGTGGGACAATCAAAGAAAGAAAGTTGGCAAAGTTTTAAGGGATGGAAGGAGTACTCTATAATAAACATATATCACTCCTCCCCTTCACTTTCCTCCGAAGTCCAAGAACAAAACAATCCGCTGAGGTCCAAATATCCAATACCATTTTAATATCTTACTCACCTGTAAATGTAGTCCAGCTGTCCTTCTTCAACAGCAAGCTCTGAATTCTTCTGCCCTGACAGTATAATTACTGTCTTAAATATCCTTCCATACAACAATCTCCATTCCAAAGCAGTACGTTCAACAGGCCCGCTGCAAAACATTATAAGCACAATATTTCCAAAGTTCTTCCTCCACTTAATCAAGTTTCCAATTTCATAATTAACAGTCCCAATTTCCTCAACTCCAAGATGCACAGATGGCAACTTTTGAGGAACAAATTCTTTCTTATCGCCATGGCCAATATTTGCCCTTGGTCGGTCCAATTCAAGAGACATCAGTCGAGGCTGCTGGTAACCAATAGCTAGCAAATCTTGAAGCCAAGCGGCAGTGAACTCCAAGTCTCTCTCTGTCCAAAACCCTTCCTCAGCCATTGCATAACTCAACTCCAGAATCTTCTCAAATAAACCATTCTTGTGTGATCTCCAAGATATTAAGAACTTAATTAGTTTACCCACGTTCACATGTAGATCTTTCTCTTCCGAAAAGGGGTATGCCTCTGTTCTATCATATCGGTATATTGTGGGAGGGTATACCACAACATACCCACCGATTTCCCACAACATTCTTTGTGCCCAATACCCTCTTAACACGTCAGAAGCCATGCTACTGACTGAAACTGGCAACATCAAACCCCAAAATGCTGATGATTGAAAAATGGTATTGAAAGAGTTAACTGGAACCATTATACCTTGAGGTAATGCCAGTTTAGGAGCATGGTCGTCAAACCTAATATCAAAAGGTTCCAGTCCTGACTTCCGAGTGAAATAGAAAATCGAATCCACGTCAGGTAAACCGTTTGAAATTCCCTGCTGAATGAACTGTCTCCCGCTAAATACCTCAGTGTAGAACTTCTCATCCCCGATATCACCAACATTCTCCAGGGGCAAACCTCTTGGCCAAACAGACCTTTGTCCAAAATGTATATAAGGGTTGACAACAGTTCTATTGGGATTCTCATGACTATATTGCAAAATGACCTCTTGCCTTGAAGCCTCCCCAACCAATTCAACATCAAAGTGTTTCCCGATATCATTATCGACCACATCAGTGCGATCATCAACATCGAATATCTTTTTAGCACCATGCTGTATGGCAAACAAATACCCAACAGTTTTTCTGACATATGAATCATAAGGGAGAAAATCCACTACTCTAAACCCCAACTGAGCTTGCATCTCCAGAGACAAGTAAATTGCACCTTTAAGACTCCAGTCTTTGGGGGTCTTTGAATTCCCCACAGCTAAGACTTGCCAACCTTTTAACCTTACGAGCTTCTCCAGTGAATCGGAAGGATAATGTGACACAGAGACAACGATCCACTTCTCTGACCGGAAATTCGAGAAGGGAGAAGAGCTATCTCGGATAGCAGGGATGTTCTTCCAGTTAATTTTAGGCAACTCGGTTTTAATGGATTTGGTCTGGACGGTCTGCATACAGAGCAGGGTAGAAGTGACATCGGCGAAATTGCGGAGGTAAAAGAGGCCAACGACGGTAAGGATGAGGAGGGAAAAAGAAAGGATTTTATACAGATTCTCCGAAGCCCACACCGAGAAATCGAGGTTCTTGGTGTCAGCAAAGCGAGTTCGGGGCAATGAAGCGGCTTTATCTCTGATAAATCTCGACTGCCGGGGAGATTCCGGCGGCGAAGAGTTCCGATCTTGAACCAACATTTCGGCGGATTCTTCACCAGTCGGTGGCTTAGATTGCTGAAAATTTCAAGTCTTGGATTCTTCACTTCGTCATTGACTTGCGTTGAGCTTAATCATTTACTTTTTTTCTCTGTGACAAAAAAACGAACACCTGAAGTGTGTGGTTTGAGGGGCTACCGACAAGTTAGATGAGTGAATGAATTGAGTATTGTTTGGTGAAGACGCGAGCGAGGAAAGGTTTCCGTATGCTTGAATCAACTTCAGCCAGCGCGCATATGCATTTGGTGCGGGTTTGGGAATTACGTTTTGATCTGAATCGGGAGTAATGTCCTTTTCTTGGGTACTTCACTTTCAACTCGGTATTGTTTTACTCCGAGCAGAGTAATGCGTACTATTGGGTTTGTTATGATATGAGAATAATTGGTGTCTTCATATAGTCAGAAGAATGGACATATTAACTACAACTATACATATTGTCTACAAGTTAATTGACAACTAAGATGTCTGTATTTAACAATTGTGTGAATCTTTTTTTAGTATAATTGTGTGAATCGTTATTTTCTTCAATAATAAGTTTATTAACCAATGTATTATTTAAAATAAGATAAATGTTTGCTAATAAAAAAATGAGTAACTGGAATAAGTTATAAAGTTTTTTGTAGGGTGTGTTTCGAAAAACAATGAAAATTAATTAATAAAAATTAATTAAATAAAATGACTTAAAGAAAAAAACAAGAAATGAGATGAAGCAGAATAAAGCAAAGCTCGTGCTACGCACGATTTCCTTAAAACGTATTCATTGCCTCCCGGGGTGCTAGGAGCGTTGCAACGATCGTTTCCCGGGATACGATGACTTCGAACGATAGTTTAGCACTCAAACTATGGTCCCAACGAACGAGAACAAAGCTCAGAACACATAAGAGTTTTTATGGAATGCTAGAGGTGGTTTTTAGCTCTGAAAGTATGTGTACGAAGTGTCTGAACGTGTGTTGTTAGCAAAGCACCTGCTAGCCTTTTATAGGGGTGGATTATGGTGTGTTAATGGCTGTTTAAGGCTTGTGAACGTTGGACATCAATGTCCCAAACGTTGGGCATTGATTCCAGCCAATAAACAGCCCAAAACGTTGGGACTTCAATGACAGCATGCTAGCATTGATTCTCCAAGCAAGCTGTCCAAACCCGCTGCATTAAGGTACAAAGACGTTGGGCATTTATGCTGCAACGTTCCAATTCAGCAAAAATAGGAACGTACCGGAAGAACAAAAATTAACGTTATTTTTAGAAGATAAATTTTCGGACGGCATTCGTGTGTGCAGGTCGCCTGCACACGCAAGTCGCGCTTTTTGTTCTTCGGTTTCGGGATTTGATTCGCACCCCCCTGCGCGCGTGAGAGAGCATTTCCCTTTAGGAATCTTAACTCCTTAGGGGGGGTTTCCCTTTATAAAGGGTTCAAATTCCCTTGTGATTTTCGGTGTGGGAAAAACACATACTAAAAACCCACATTTTCGTACTTTTCTCCATTCCAACGGGTAAACTTCGAAAGGCAATTTCTCATTCACCCGTTATCCGTTTTGAGCGTACCATATATCGAATTGTAGCCCTAGGCAAGGGCAATCCGAAACCACTTTGACCCGACCCAAATCGGAAGTGGATCCCACTCAAAAAATTGCCCTAAAATGACCATTTAATGCAATTTTAACACACTTTTTCCAACATTTTTTTTGAAGGAAAGTTATAAAGTTAATAAGTAGAAAATAATGATTACCAAATCACCATTATGGCATTATATGTGGCAAATATGATATTGAGGAACTAAAAGTGAAGCTAGAGATGCTTTCATTTTGATGGGAATTTCTTTATTGGGAAAAGGGTCAGATAGACTTTCGAACTTACATAAAAAGATCAAATAAACCCTTATATAGGAGGCTATGTTAAAAGCGCAGTTATCTTCAAGAATTCATTTGAATGCCTTCACAATTGAATTGTTAGCTGAAATTTGGTATGAGTAAACTAGACTTAATGAATAAGATGCTAAAAAAATCATCAAATAATTCCATCGAGAACTGCCCCAAATGGCGATGGCCAGACAGAGCCTCCTATATAAGGACTTATTTGACCTTATTATGTAAGTTTAATGGCCTATTTGACCCTTTTCCCTTCTTTATTTGGTTTGATTAGTTTAAATTTCATGTGATCTAGTATGAAGGAGTTTGGTCTCATAATTGTATGTTTTATGTCTATATAATACGGAGTATGATATAATCTGTCTAATCTAATTTGAGATTGAAAACGTTCATTTACACTAAAGTAGGATTTAGTTCCATATATGCCATGCATTTTTTATTTGTATATGATGTCAGGATGTGACAATGAAATGAGGTTCGTTTGATAGTTTAATCTATTAAGGAGGTTAAAGCTTCATTTTTGTTGTTGATATATCCCATTAGTGCATAATTAATTAATATCCTAAATGGACATCTCTATTCTTTGGGGTTTGGACTGATAAGCTTACCTACCATGTGTTCTTTGGTGGGAAATCTCTATATATATTGTTATTGAAGTAGTAGTCCCATTGGACATATACCCAAAAAAATGTATAGAAATTTACTCAAAACAATAGTCGGTTCAAGTGGTTCAACTATCAATGCATATAATGAATAATAAATTAATACTCTATTTGCTAAACAGTTTGATTTTGCTACTAAAAACAAAAGAAAAAATATATACCACGTATGAGATTTTTGTTTTTGCAAAAACTATAAGGACCGGTTTATTGAGACTAAAATTTATTAACCAAACTATAAAATTGTGTGTACCTTTTTACAATCAAATGAGTCGAGGTAAACATCTCCTTATGAAAGGAGACTCGTTATTCATGCATTGCCGTGGCCGTGGTAGGCCTGGACTCGGGCCGGTTCGGGCCCGGTTCGGGCCTGGGCCCGGTTCGGGCCTGGGCCCGGCCGGGCCTCGGGCCAGGAAATGGGAGGCCCGGGCCCGAACCGCCGGTGGCCGGTTCCGGTCCCGGTTCCGGGCCAAACCGGGCCGGGCCGGGCCGGGCCGAACCGGCCCACTTAATTTTTTTTTTTTTTGTTCTCCTATTTAATCCCCTACCCCTCCCCCTCAACCCCAAACCACCCCAAACCACCTCAAATGGCCCAAAATACCTATTCCAACCCAAAACTTTAAAAAAATTTCAAAAAAAAAAAATTAAAATCCGGCCCGGACCGGGCCCGAACCGGCCGGGCCGGTTCACCATTTGGAAGGCCCGGGCCCGGAACCGGGAACCACCGGGCCGGTTCGACCCGAACCGCCGGTGGACCGGGCCACCGGGCCGGGCCGGTTGCTACAGTGGCCGGGCCGGGCCGGTTCCGGGTCGGGCCGCCCGGCCCGAGTCCAGGCCTACCGTGGCGTAGCTCACCACAGCATAGCAATTACCAGATCACAGAGAGAGTTTTACTCAAGTTGCAAGTTTCGTAATATAATTCTTAAGCAAAAAATGTGTATAAATGAATCAAAATATGCGCCATTCTTGCATCATTCTCATTCGTATTCATATATTAGCATGCACAAGTGTAAAAGAGGAGGGCAGTCGGTGTTGGAGTCTCTTCCATCCCAATGGAGTGCACATCATATGATTTATCAGATACTCGTAATTAATATAGTACTTCCCTGTATAATAAGCTGGTTTTTAAAATCAACAACCTGGCCCGGGGACCACCTTGCCTGTAGAGGAATGGCTCCATTCATTATGTGCCAAACACCCTCTGATTTTTAATGGCTTATAGAGTTACATACATGCTGGTCTCGCCCATCTTTCATGACCATGGTCCTCATTGGCAGCCCATTTCTTGGGGTTTTTAAGTGTACGGCAAAATAATGAGGTAGATATGATCTAGAAGCTGTTCTCTTCGCCTGATCTGAATGTTTCTGATCTGAATTTTTTAAGTTCTGATCTGATCTGATCTGAATTTTTCTGATCTGATCTGATCTGAATCTGTCTGATCTGATCTGAATCTTTCTGATCTGATCTGATCTGATCTGAATCTTTCTGATCTGATCTGAATGTTTCTGATCTGGTCTGATCTGATCTGAATGTTTCTGATCTGATCTGAATCCTTCTGATCTGATCTGATTCGAATATTTCTATGATTATAATTATAATTATAATTATAATTATTATAATTGCAATTACAAATATAATTTAAATAAAATTATAATTATAATTGTAATTATAATTACAATATTTATCTCTATAATTGTAACTATAGTTATCAATATTATTATAATTACTCCGTAAAATAATTACAATAGTAATAATAATAATAATAATAATAATAATAATTATAATAAAAATAATAATTATAATCATAAATTATAATTATAATATAATTATAAGTATAATTATAATTATTATAATTATAATTAAAAATAATTATAATTATATTAACATTAATTATAATATTATAATTTAATAATATTAATATAAATACAATTAATATTATTATAACGACATTATTATATTAATATTATTATTACAATAATATAATAATATTATTATTACAGTAATATAATAATAATATGATTATTATTATAATTAGTATTATATTATTATAATATTATATTATAATTATAATTATAATCATAATTATAATTATGATTGTAATTATAATTATAATTACTATAATTATAATTAATTACAATTATATTTATAATTAATTATAGATATAATTATAATAATTACAATTGATTATACTTATAATTATAAGAATTATAATTGTAATTATAATTATAATTACATATAATTATAATATAATATTATAATAATATTAATCATATTATTATTATTATAATATTGTAATAATAATAATAATAGTCTTCTTAACAATTGCATTTATATTACTATTATTATATTAAAATATTATAACTAATATTAATATCTTTTTTTATCATATTATTATTAATATTAATAATAATAATAATAATTATATAATAATAATCATAATAGTAATAACAATATTAATAATAATAATTAATATTTAATATAATAATAAAAATGATAAATCATGTTTGAACTTTTCTGATCTGATCTGATCTGAATGTTTCTGATCTGATCTGAATGTTTCTGATCTGGTCTGATCTGATCTGATCTGAATCTTTCTGATCTGATCTGATCTGAATCTTTCTGATCTGATCTGATCTGATCTGAATTTTTCTGATCTGATCTGATCTGAATTTTTCTGATCTGATCTGATCTGAATAAAATAAGAATAAGCAATAAGTAATAAGAATAAGACGAACAGAACAGCACCCTAGTTCAAGTATTTTTTCATTCTCCATTATCTTTATCTCAAAAACTTCCAAAATGCAGTTTACTTTTTCCAAAGCAGACTCT